GTGTTCTAAGGTCCATGTATGGTCCTGCGATAGAACGTGCCCACTCTGCCGGGTAACCACTGCCAGAACAGAAACAAAAGGCAAGGCTTCCAAACTTGTGACAGGAACCATGCAAATAGTCAGTTAATCCAAGAGAAGACAAGAGCAGAGACTGAGAAAACAGACCAAAGAGGGTAGACTTATTTTGACTGATATATCAGTGATCACTGTGAGGACAAACGGACCGATGGATTGTCCCACTTCAGTAAGGCGGCCAGAGTGCATTCCTAAAACTGTAAGTATATGAATCTTCAATACAAAGGTTCAGAAAATTAAGGATGGTGAAAGAACAAAAATACACCTTGTGAGCCCTGGGCAGAAAGAAGGCAGCAAAGCCATATTCATATTAGTMAAAATAGCATTCATGGCAAAAAGCCTAACTGAAAAATAAAGAGGGCCATTTTATAAAARCTTCAACTCCCCAGCAAAATAATGATTTTGCATTTTTATGTATTAAGATAATGTCAAAAAAATATATCAAGTAGAAGTTGATAATTAAATAGATAAGAAAATCTACGATCCATAGGTTAGTTTCTTTTACGTCTCTTTCTGAAATTGATAGAACAAATATGTATACTATTTTATTAGTAAAGACAAAGTATTTGTACAGGTCTATCAAGGAGAAAAAGGCCTTGTAGTAATCGACCTGTGTTTTAGTCAACTTTTCACTACTGAGACCAGAAGACTTGTCAAGAACAAATTTAAAAGGAGACGTTTATTTGGGRGCTCCTGGTTTCAGAGGTCTCAGTCCACAGATGGCTGACTCTATTCCTCGGGGCTAGAGTTGAGGCAGAGCATCGTGGAAAGATKTGGTGGAGGGAAGGGGCTCAAGACACCGCACCAGGAATCAGAGAGTGACTGAGCTCAGCTCACACAATTTAAACCCCAAGCCACGTCCAGTGACCCACCTCCTCCAGCCACTCCCCACCTGCCTACAGTTACCACCCAGTTAATCTCTATAAGGGGATTAGTTCATTGATTGGGTTAAGGTTTTCAGAACCCAATCATTTGTCCCCTAAACTTCTTGATTTGTCTCACACATGAGCTTTTGGGGGACACCTCACCTCTAAGCCATAACAACATGTACAGGGCATGGAAGAAAACATATTATTTGAAAGTATAGTAGGAACATTTATAAAAATTGTTGATGCACAAAATAAGTTGAATGGAATCAGATCAGAGTATATTATCTGACCACAATGCAGTAAAGCTCAAAATCAACAATAGAAAGTCCCCGAGTGCATACAATAAAAGAAAGAAAAGAAAAAGAAAATCCCCAAGTACTTGGAAATGCAGACATACTTCTCTAAATAATCCCTACATAGGTCTAAGAAGGCATCATAATGGAAATTAGAAAACATTGTTAACAGTAATGAAAATACTACATTTCATAACATGTGCATGAAACAGATTTAGAAGAAAGTGCTGTCTTAAATGTATGTTTTGTAAAAATAGAGAAAATGTCAGATTAATGTTTATTCATCTAAAGAAGTTTTTAGAAATAGCAAAATCAACCCRAAGAAAGTTTGCAGAAATAGTAGAGAATAGAAACCAATACAATATAAAATAAACATTCCTCAGACAGAATTGACAAGCCAAACTTTTTTGCGGGGACGGGTACTAGGGTTGAACTCAGGGGCACTTGTCCACTGAGCCACATCCCCAGCCCTATTTTGTGTTTTATTTAGAGACAGGGTCTCACTGAGTTGCTTAGCACCTTGCTTTTGCTGAGGCTGGCTTTAAATTCAGGATCCTCATGGGCTGGGGATGTGGCTCAAGCGGTAGCGCGCTCGCCTGGCATGCGTGCGGCCCGGGTTCGATCCTCAGCACCACATACCAACAAAGATGTTGTGTCCGCCGAGAACTAAAAAAAATAAAAAATATTAAAAATTCTCTCTCTCTCTCTCTCCCCTCTCTCACTCTCTCTTTAAAAAAAAWAAAWAAATAAAATAAAATAAAAAATAAAKAAATAAATTCAGGATCCTCCCAAGCCGCCAGGATTTCATGCCCCATGGCACCCTGCAAAGCCAAACGTTTTATAAGCAAATTAAAATCAACAAACCTCTGGTGCAATTGATCAAAGAACAAAGAGAAGGCACAGATAATTAACATGAGGCCTGACGAAGCTACAGCACTCCAGAGGAACAGGCAAGATTGTTAGAATTCTTTTTGCTAGTAGATTTGAAAATTTGGGGAAAAATGGATAAATTCCTAGAAACATGTAGCTTAAAGCAAATTCAAGAAGTAGAAACCTGGACTAGTCAGACAGCCATTGAAAAAACTGACCTAGAAAGCTGGCAGACGAGATAACACATAGATGGCTGACCATTGTCCTTGCAGTTGTACTCGGGGGTCTCCGTAGCCACACTCTTATCCACACCATTCATGCTRTAAGCGGCATCTCTGACTGTCTGCATAGTGGGGCTGTACATTTGTTCAGGTTTGGGGGGCATGTACCAATTTGTTGACGAGGAAAAGGCCAAGAGGTGTCCTGACCAAAGGCAGGAAAGTCTAATCTTTCCAAATGCTGAACCTTCATGAAGAACCATCTGTTGATATCACACATCTGCTGCAGAACTTTCTTTCCTTAGGGAAGGGGCTTGTTCCATCCCTGCGAGAGTAATCCTAAGGGATTCTCCACCTGGAGACCAGACCTGCAAGCTTCCCAGAGGGGCATTATTACTAACAGTACAGAAATATTCTTGTTTTAAAAGGAATTCCATTTGCAAGATTATTCATCAAACGTTTTCAGCTGAATCCCTTGAACCAGTGTCCACGACCTATGAGACAGCATCTTGGTGACCTCTGATGTCACCTCCTTCTGTTGGAAGGAGAGGAATGAACTCYGCTGAGCTACTGCGGTGACATCATAGGGTTCTGGGTATGAGAGAATATGTGGGTGACAAGGAAGGTGACCTCAGAGAAGCGATCATAAAATGTGAAAAAGTATCGCAGATTCCAACAATTCAGGAGGTGTGGCCCACTCTGACTCGGCCCTCCACAGCCTCTTCCACCATAGGAATGGCCGCCATTGGGTCATTTTTCTCACTAWGAGTTATTAGCTCATCATGGCGCTCATTATTCCAGAGCTCCACCTCTTGCCATTAAGGCCAGGCTTCGTCTGATTGTCCTTAGTTTATGTCCAGGATAGATGAAGCATCTGAATGTTTTTTTAATAACTTGAGTAAAGGAGACATGGAATACAGACCCAAATGACATATTACTCGGCCACCAAAAAGARTCATATTTTATCATTTGYAGCAAAATGGGTAATACAGAGGCAATCAAGTAAAATAAGTCAGATGCAGAAAGATGGGTACTGCATGTTTTCTCTCATATGTGAAAGCTAAAGCTAAAAAATAAAAAAGATCATTCAAAATTAGTAATAGTAATGACTACAGCCTTGGGAGGTGGCCGGGAGGAGGGCTGGAGGGAGGCTGGATYACGGCTAACCCAAACACAGACGGAAGAAGTAAGTTCTAGGGTTCCACAGCATAGCAATGGGGGGCGGTTATAGTTCACAATGATCTATTATATACTTTATTAATGTCTAGAGGAGACACACTTGAAACTCCAAACACAAAATAATGATAAAGATATGGAAATATAAATGATTCTGATTTTATCGGCATGTTTTGTGTACAYGTATTAAACTACTACATTGTACCCCCAAAATATGTATGATGATTAAATGACAACTGAAGATGTTTAAAAATGTTTAAGGAACCTCCAAAAACTTGGAATGGAACCACCATTTGACCTAGCTATCCTACTCCCTGGTCTATACCCAAAGGACTTGAAATCAACATGCTATGGTAATGTAGCCACATCAACGTTTATAGCAGCTCAATTCACAGTAGCTAAGCTATGAAAACAACTTAGATGCCCTTCAACAGATGAATGGATAAAGAAAATGTGGTACATATGCACAGTGGAATATCACTCAGTCATAAAGAAAAATGAAAGGATGGCATTTGTCAGTAAATGGATGGAGCTGGAGACTGTCATGCTAAGTGAAGTAAGCCAGTCCCCAAAACAAAGGCTGAAATCTTCTCTCTGATGTGTGGATGCTAACACATAATGAAGGGGTGGGGAGGCTAGGGAAGAATAGAGGTATTTTGGATTAGGCAGAGGGGAGTGAAGGGAAGGCTAGTAGAAGGAATTGGACATTATGACCCTAGGTGCATATATGACTACATGACTGGTGTGATTCCACATAGTGTACAACTAGAAGAGTGAAAAGTTATACTCCATTTATGTATGATGTGGCAAGATGCATTCTACTGTCATGTATAACTAATGAGAACAAATTAAAAAAATATAGGCATCCAAAAAAAATGTTTAAGGAGATGGAAATGTTAATGCCTTATTTGATCATTACACACTGTACACATGTATTGAATAGCCACACTGCACCCCATGAATTTGCACAATTACAATAATTTTTAAAAAACACCTTGGGTCGGGGCTGGGATGGTGGCTCAGCGGTAGAGCGCTCRCCTAACATGCTTGGAGCCCTGCGTTTGATCTCAGCACCGCATAAAAATAAATGAATGAAATAAAGGTATTGGGTCCAACTACAACTAAAAAAAAATAGATATTTAAAAAATACCTTGGGTCATCACACAGCCTTCACCTGATCAGAACTTTYGTCATTGTTGTTTATGAATATTTTAGACGTTAAACCTTGATTTCGTGTGAGAGGGAAGCTCCTGGGGGTTAAAGATTCCATGATYGTGCTCCAAGGCATTCTTGCCTCSTCTACTTAAATTTTCTGAATAAACAAAGTGATTTTGTTTCCAGGTGTRCAAGGCTGTAACACCAAGCAAAGGAAGGACTTCTGGAAGCAGGTGGCCAGTATCAGGCCTGAACCCGGGCTTTCTCTGCTCCACGGGCACCTCGCACACCTKCGCACAAACACACACTCCTGCTGATTATTACTTTTGCTTACCTCCGTATAGGAAAGAAGAAATCTAAATTCAAAACCTTCAAGAAGTTCTTTGGGAAGAAGAAGAGAAAGGAATCGCCTTCATCCACGGGGAACAGCACCTGGAAGCAGAACCCGGCCAAGAGCGAGGTCATTGCCATYGAGTCCGGGCCAGTGGGCTATGACTCCGAGGATGAACTTGAGTAAGTTGCTGTTGAGGCCACGGGGCCCTGCGCTCCTCCTAGAGGGGGGACATCGGGGCTCAGCAGAACAGATCCTCTGTCAGGGTCTCAGTACCGTGYTGGGCAGCCCAGGAGCGGTTCCTCCACACAAGTTATGTCCTTTGTCTTCCTAAACATGGGATGGAGAAAATGTGTGTGTAGGGGTGGGGAGGCATGGATAGGTAGATGCTGTGTGCCAGGTGTATTAAATGTCCATTGTCCACGGGTGCAGTGGCGCATACCTGTAACCCCAGGAGGCTGAGGCAGAAGGATCGAGAGTTCAGAGCCAGCCTCAGCAATGGCGAGGTGCTAAGCAACTCAGTGAGACCCTGTCTCTAAATAAAATACAAAATAGGGCTGGGGATGTGGCTCGGTGGTTGAGTGCCCCTGAGTTCAATCCCCAGTACCACAAAAAAAAAAAAAAAAAGTCCATGATCCCCATGGGAGAAGAGGTACCATATGCCATCAAATAAATGAGCCAAATAAGCTGGAGAGAAATTTGGAGGCTACCTGACATCCCGAAGCTGAAAGCCAAAGGCTCGGGATGTGGACCTTGGTGTAATGTGACGTAAACCCCTTGAAGACCTTGAGGACCATACGAGAAACACGTGGCTCTCTAAACTTGAACTCCAAGCAGTCTAATAAGTATGCTTTCCTCTGGTCCGAGTCCAGGATGGAGAGAGGAAAGCTTCTTGTTCAGTTTTAGGAAAATCGTCCAAAAATACCACTCAGAAGAGACCCAATGTGGGTGAAACATTGGGGGAGGTCTAGTGAAGAAATGCTGGTTTTTGTAACTTGTAGTCCATCAAAATACAGTTACCAGGCACACGTCCCCGTCCCTCCAGCCATTATTTCTGTGACTAGAAAGAAACAGGTTGGTTGTCCTGCCGGCTTTTATGTTTTCTTTAGAACATTGGCCTCTGATTTGAGGATGAGATTYCTCAGAGAGCATGAACCTCCTGGGGTCCGGGGTGGGACGTAGCAACGGAGAACGGGTCCTGGGCCTGAGCCTGCCCATGAGGGCTCCTGTGCCTTCCTAGCTCCAGCCTCTCCCTGTGTGGTTTTATTTTTTAAGGTGTAGAAATTAAATTGACCACGTGGTGGCACCAAACCTCCGTAGAGGAAAATTTAGATTCTGCAACTTTAATTTTTTTCCAGTGCTGGCAGGGAGCAGGGCGGGCCATTGGTGGTGCCTTGTGCAGCATGAGGAACCCACTGCACACAGGCTCTAGGTCCCATGCTCCAGACCCTGAGGGAGCAAGAGTTACCTCACTGGCCAGCCCCAGGGGCATGCTCACCCCCACCCCACCCACCCCATCTCCTGACAGGAGCAAGCCGTCTGTCCTGTGGTTGCAGGCACAGACCTGGGGGAGACCCCTCTGCCACAGACAGAAGCAGAGCCAGAGGGATGAGCTGGGGGGAAATGACCTGTGCACTTATCACGTCCTCCTCTTAGAAGAAGCCTGAGGAAAGTTGGGGTCAGGCCCTTGGTATCTTTCTATCTCCGGCACGTAGCAGGAAGCTGACTTCAATTGCTTGCAAGAGTTTGCCAGGATCCAGGAAGGATCCCAACTTTCCTTTAGGGGATGGAGTATGACAAGTGACATTTTTCAAGAGTGGTACCGAGGAGGAGACCAGATCCAGATCTTTAGCTTCTGGTTCCTTCCTTTCCTGCTTGCCAGTTAGCTGTTATTGCTCCTAGAGTTTTCTAGTGGGTACAGCTAGGAAATTTGTTTGGCTTAAATAATAATCATTAACTCACTGTTATTTTCATTCAAGTCTTATCTCTTTGATTCTTTGTATTCTCTCTCTTTTTTTTTCTATTGGAAATCTTAGCAAAGTTACTCATTTTCTTCATCCTGTAATAAAGTCACTTTGTGCTCCATCCACAGGTGGCCTTTGGCGAACATTGCTCTACTCTGTTTCGTTTTGTTTTCAGCCCACATTACTACTGATAGAACTACTAGGTGCAATTTGAAATGTTTGTCTTTGTTGTTCTTAGAATTCATCCTGCCCTGGATGTGGAAGCAAAAGTCATTTGGAGGACTGAGGTTGGGGCTCAGTGGTAGAGCGCTTGCCTCACACGTGGGAGGCACTGGGTTCGATCCTCATAAAAATCAACCAATAAATAAAGGTTCAAAAAAATAAATCTCTTAAAAAAAGTCATTCAGACACAGAGTTAAAGGCACCTGAAATCCTGCCTTTCTTTTTGTAGATCTGTCAACAACCTGCTATAAAAGTTGGCTCATTCGTTTCTGTTTTCTAGTTTTAGAGATTGCTCTATTTCCCTTCCCTGTCTTTTGTTTATAGGAAACATTTATAGTTAAAAGACAAAAATTGTAAAGGCAGGTACCTTTGTATCCAGTTTCTCTCTCTAGTTTTCCTTCCCCGCAAAGGAAACCATTCTTCCTCACTTGTGACTTGTCCTTCTGTTTTTATTTACTTTTTTAAAAAATTTTTTTGTTGTTGTTGATAGACCTTTATTTTATTTGTTTTTACGTGGTGCTGAGAATCGAACCAGGTGCCTCACATACGCCAGGTAAATGCGCTACCGCTGAGCCAGAGCCCCACCCCCTGTTTTTATTTTTTGAAAGCAGAGCATGCACCTGTGTTCCTGTATGTTCCTGTGCATGTCCCCGCCCCCTTCTCCCAGAGCTGGTGTGCCCCTAGTGTGGCTGTGAGCCGCTTACTGTACTTCTACAGGTTCCTCTGGCGAGCTAGTGCAGGGAGAGGATCTTTCTTTCAGTCAGAGACAGAGTCCTCCTCCTAGGATGCTCCTGGAAGATTCTGTTCAACACCCAGAGAAGCATGTTGGCTGCTTCCCCATCTCACAGACATTGCCGTGGTGAACGGCCTTGTTCCCATGGCCTCCTGTGTTTGGCTAGGGTGTCTCTTTGGAGACTTCTTCATTCCACTGGACTCCTAGTGACACCCGAGTGCAGGTGTTTGGGCAGYGCTGTGGTTTCCAGACAGTGTGTCCATGGCTGTGCTGCCAGACGGAGGTCCAGGTGTGTGTGTGAGAGAGACAGATCTCCGTGTTAGGAGCTTCCTTTGACAGGGAGGGAGAGTTTTTTCCACTGTGCTGATTCCTTCCTAGAAACGTGAGGACCCCCCCCCCTTTCTGGGAGCCAGGGTGCCTACTTGCAAGCTTGCCCCTGCAGGCCAGAGAGTGTAATTAAAGGGAAGCACTGCTGACCAACACAGCTTGATCTGCAGTAGGGCAGGGCCACACCTCAGAGCCCCTAATGCCCCAGAGAGGACAGGATGCCCCGGGGAAGGGCAGGGGTGGAGCTGATGTGCACAAGACCAGGGAATGTAGAGGCTGCTTTCCTTCCTTCACCTAGTCTCCATCATCTCCTTCCACCTATTGTTCAGGCTGCTAGGAAAATCTTACAGCTCATTCCCACATCCTGTGGACATTTTATGAATGTCCCATGGGTTCAGTTCCAAATCAGATCCTTGAAAAGGGCCTGGCATGGCGACGGCAGGAGGGCCCGCCACTGATGTTTGGGACGTAAGCACAGAGTGGCAAGGATCGAGCCAGGTGATCAGAAGAGGATGCGGCCGTGCAGATGGCAATTCTCACTACAGACGAGCGGGGATGTATGGTGCCTCCAGCCCGCAGGCCCTCAGCCCACTGGGCAACAGGAGGGGCTGCCCATTTGCCCCTGAGCCCTGCCCTCCTCCTGCCACATAGGTTTCCCCGCCCTTCCTCCCTGCAGGCTTGGCATCTCCGACCTCACACCTCAGGTTTTCCACTAATAAAAAGAATTCGCACAGCCTTCAGATCTCTTAGGAAAATTCCCACCTCTGCGCAGCTCCTAGGAGTAGCCCGAGGTATTTGACCGTTGAGAGGCATAAACGGGAACCCAGAGCTACAGACGACACACACACAGAGGACTTGTAGGATGTGCCCGGTGCGGTTAACCCACACCGCCCCCCTTTCACTCTGGGTCCTCAGGAGTCGGTGAAGGGGGAGGTGKCCAGGGTCTCACAGTCACTTTTTTTATCCCAGGGAGTCCAGGGGCACGCTGGGCAGCCGGGCCCTCTCGCACGACAGTATTTTTATTCCTGAGTCGGGACAAGACCCTGCTCGGCCGGTGCGGGTATTTTCCCAAGAAAATGTGTGCGACCGGATTAAAGCCCTCCAGGTGAGCATTTTCCTTGGCAGTGACCCTTGGTTTGGTTTGGAAGTCAAATCTTTTTTTTAATATTTTGTTTACTTAGTTGTAGTTGGACACAATACCTTTATTTTATTTTTATGTGGTGCTGAGGATCGGACCCAGGKCCTCACATGCGTTAGGCGAGCGCTCTACTGCTGAGCCACAACCCCAGCCCCTGGATGTCAGATATTAATCCAGAAGTTTTTAAGTGATTTCTGCTTCATTTGTTTGCTATGTTTTAAAGTAATAGGCACATCACAAAGTCTCCYAAGACTCACCAAGCTGCTTACCCCTTGATCTTGATGCATTCTGGGTTACAGCTTAGATGTACAATGAGAGAGATGACAAGCAGGGTAGCACACACCTGTCATCCCAGTGRCTTGGGAGGCTCAGGCAGGAGGATCGCATGTTCCAGGCCAGCCTCAGTTACTTAGTGAGGCCCTGAGCAACTCAGCAAGACTCTGTTCTCAAAAAAAAAAAAAAAAAAAATAGTTTGAAAAGGGCTGGGGTTGTGGCTCAGTGGTTAAGTGCTCCTGGGTTCAATCTCCAATACCAAAAAGCAAACAACAACCAAGAGAGTGGTTAAGTGCTCCTGGGTTCAATCTCCAATACCAAAAAGCAAACAACAACCAAGACAGAGGTTAAGTACTCCTGGGTTCAATCTCCAGTACCAAAGAAAACCAACCAAGAGGAATGACCCCAAGAGCTGGTAGCCGATGCTGTTTCAGCTTAGTAACCCCCGCCATGCAAGAGTGTTGACGATATTTCCCAAATGAATTAACTGGAGTAGGGAGATTTGTGGATAAATGTTATTGATGAAAATACTAAGAGCAAATGTTCTTTACTTCAATCTAGTTAAAAATACAATGTCATGTGAAAATGGGGCCGCCTCCTCCGGGGGGGCTTCCTGCCAAGCGGGCAGAGGATACCGGCATGAGCTCCGAGGATGACGGGCTGCCCCGGAGCCCCCCTGAGATGTCCCTGCTGCACGACGTGGGTCCGGGCATGACCATAAAGGCGAGTGCAACCTGGGCCCTGACCCTCCATCCACGCCAATCATCCAGGGCAGCTGGAGCTCTGGGGGCTCCTGGGGGCAGCCAGGTCACCTGAGCCTGCAGCCGGCCCTTGGGCTGTGTTTATCTTCATTCTTTGAGCAGAAATTCAGGTCTGGTTAGGAGATGTGGTTTGGATGACATATTTTTGTGATGGTGTTCAAACCGATACCTCGTCTTTCCTGTCCGGGCAGACAATCAGACCCACAATCTCATTGAAAAGAGGGAGCCCCTTTCTGTGTGTTCTGTGCTACTGGGACRTTGAGTGGAAAGAAGGGAACAGTGAACAGGTACACTGGTCTTAACGCCACGTCCTTGTCTTAGGACCGCAAGAGCCTGTTGGTCTAGAATGTGCAGACTGTTACTGGTAAACAGGGCAGCAGAGAAAGTTGGACCGCAGGGGAGTTGATGACCCCAGAGGGGCAGAGAGGGGTGAAGGAGCTGATCCTCATACCCTGCTCCCCATAAAATCCGAGGTGAGGGGCCTGAGCAGGTGAGCTCTTTCTCATGCATAAACACCGCAGCTCGTGCTACTGCTGCTTTCTGAAAATGGTATTTCACTGTAGTGCGAACGCTTCACACCCACACAGTGCACTCTGACCCGAGTGATAAAGTAGACGGTCGTTTTACCCGTGTGGATAAGGCTTGCTGTGGACGGATGAGAATTATTCCAGGTGTGTTGATGCTTGAAAAGCAGATGAAGGTCAGAGTTCGAGTATTAGGGTCATGCACCCGCCCTGGGATCTTTGGAATACTCTCGCCCCTGGCTGGCCTAGGAGCTGTTCATGGTGGGGCTGCAGATTCTGTGTTGCTCTCAATTATGTTCAGCAACTATTTCAGCTTGGATGCCTACGAGTCCACCACAGACCTAATTTTTTTTTCTTATTTTTTGTTCTTGTGGAGTTGTGGCTTCCATCTCTGATGGGAAGTCAGGACTGTGATGTGGCCACTAAGTCACCCCCCCGGGTTGGTGCTGTCGTGGAGCTACCTGGAGAATTCTTCCCTCCAGATTCCAGCTCCAGGGTGAGCATGTCCCAGCTCACTCCCAGAGTGGGGCCTGTGGTCCAGAGGCTGCCCACACCTCTTCAGCCTCAAGAAGGACTAGAGAATGGCCTGTTTCTGGGCTCTGCCAAGCTGACCCTGCATTTCTTCATACCCTAAAGCACTTCCAGGTACAGTTTCATTGTCACCCTCTCAGGAGCAGACGTGACTCTGTCTCAGGCCACGTGGTAGGAGATGGCTTCTTATTCAGCACTGAGTGACTCTCCCTCCTCCCATCCCATGGATCCCTGACTCTCACACTTCCTACTACTTCTCCTCCTCTAGCGAGGACAGGTAGTAAAGAGGAACAGGAGGTACCTAACCCCATGCATTAGAGAGCCAGCCCAGTTCCAAACCCACTTACACCATGATGTACAATTCCATGGTCAGCCTCGGGGGGCCACTCGTGCTGGACCAGGGCTGACCTTGTTTTTCACAGCATCCCTTCTATGGTAGTTACTGCGCACACACACACACACACACACACACACACACACAGTTCTGAGATTTTTAAAAAATCAATTATTGGATAATATGCACAATCCATAGCTTCATGAAAACCAAAATTTGAGCCTTTAGGATACAAAAGAAAGAAAAGGAAAAGAAAAATGTACTCTTTTCCAGTCATCACAGATCCCAGAAAGTGTTTTGTACACAGTTGGCCGATTGAGAGGAAAAAGATGATGCATCCCTTAGAAATGTGCTTCTGTAACGGGATATTTAACATAATGGCGCCTTAAATCCCAAGAGGACGGGATTTGGGGCTGTTTAATTTTATCCTGTATGACACCTTCCCTAAGCCCATGTGCTTGACAGAGCCACTTGAGATTATTGTTAAAAGAAAAAGAAAAAAAAATAAAAGACTTTGGCAGCAAATATAGACATAGCCACGGTGGTGTTTCCTGACAGTGAGTTTTTCAGGAAACACGTGGAATTATTTTTGAAATTCATTGCAGCGTGCGTGGACACAATGAATGAAACCTTACCTGGTGGGGTTTTATATGTCTAACTGGTCATGTTCTAGGTTTCCTGGTATTAAGGTTTTACCAAGCTTTGTCACCTCTTGGAATCCATGTCCTCAGAGGGCCTGGGCAGGGTTGAGTGAGATCAGATAGATGGGTGCTCTCCCTTCCCAGCAGGGCCAGCAGCTTCTCTTCACCCATTGGCCTGGCCCCACCAGCCTTGCTCCCTGATTAATGGCCGTTCATGTGGGCACTGTCCTCAGCCCATTCCTCAAAATGAGCCCCATTCTGAGGACAAACTTTGGAAAACACTTATGACCTAAGGTCACCCCTTAAAAAATCTCCTGAACCTCAATGCATTTCCTTTGTGCCACATTGTGCACGACTATGACTAAGTCCTCTGCTTCCAGAAGCCAGACTGCAGGGAACGTATAGTGATAAGGAGTAGGCAGTGCAGATGACTCTCTGGATGCTGCCAACTCACCCATGAAGACACAAGCCAGCTTCCCTGCCCTGGCCTCCTCCCCAGAGAGTACCCTCCATACCCCACCCCATGAAGTTACACCACAGATCAAAGGCAGAACTCATGATCCTCCTAGTCATAATGGGATTGGTCTTCCCAGTTCCCGAGAACTTTCAAAATGACAGTGGGGACAAAAATGAGAGTTTTGAGGACAGAAGAGTCCCCTAATGGCAACATCAGCTGTGACATTGGCGCAGGGTTTACATGTGGACAGAAGTCAGGGAAGCTAAACTCCATGCCAAGGTCTCCCAGCCAAGAGGTTAAAGTGAGCTGAAGCTAAAAACCAGCAGTACAAGTACAGATTCTCATAGAGGAGGGACAGGGGCTGTTTACCCTTCGGAACCTTTGGGCTGATAGATACGTAGACCAATAAGCAAAAGCTCATGTTGCACACATCTTAGCAGTATAACCCACGTAGACTTCGTGAGGGAGTGTGCCATGTTTGATGGGCAGGTGTCTTAGGGTATTGCCCTTGGTCTTCCAGTGAGTGCCAGAATCCCCTTCCTCCCTGGAAACACCTTCTTTCTCTGCTGACCATCAGTTCAATCTATTACAATCTATTAATATACTTTTAACTTACCTGGTGGTGACTTAAAGCCAGATTGCCCCAGGAGGTTGCAGAGCTCTCCAAGAATGAACAAAGGTCCAGTGATAGAATGCTGGGTAGGGCCTTGCCCTTCTGCCTGGACAACGCTGTAGCTTCTGTGCCCTGGCCCCTAAAATCCCAGCTCTCAGCTTCCTTAGACAAAAGCAGATGCCTCTGCCCTTGGAGATACGGGCTGGACTGGTCCCTCGGGGGAGTGGGGTGGGGGGGAGAGTGGTCCTGCTCAGGAAGCCTGTTCACAGGCTCTTGCAAGGCCTTGGGAAGGAGTGGAAGGTTTCCAGGGTTTGGCCCAACACTCGGAACTCCCAGCCGTCTCACTTTCTAGAGGAGTATCCTGAATGCTCCCTGTCAAGAGCCAACCTGAACAAGTTTCCCGCCCAGGTAAACGCCCGAGAGTGTGGGGGCACAATGAAAGGAGAGCCGGTGTGTCTGCGGGCTGTGCCCAGCCCTGTCTTGTCATGAAGCTAATGTTTGGTGTATTGCTCCTTGTCCCATGAAGGTCTCTTTAGTGTCCTCGTCCCGGCCACAGTCTCCAGAGCCCACGAGCGACGCCACCAACTCCTCCCGGACCTCGGAGAGCAGCCTGGCGCCCGTGGCTGATTTCAGCTGCCCCCCAGAACTCTCCTCCTGCCTGGACAACTCGGCAGCCAGGCACAAGCTCCTGGTCAAGCCCCGCAACCAGCGGTCCAGCAAAATGAGGCGGCTGTCTTCGGTAATGGGCTCCTCCTCTGCCCAGGGGCCAGGACGGGTGGGCTGGGTGGCCCCCAGCCCCTCCCCTGCCCTCTCCCCCGCCGGCTCACAAGCTCCCTGTGAGCACCACCCTGGTCAGCAGGACCACACTGCGGGAATTGGAGCTGGTTGTTCATCGTTTTTAACATCAGTCCATGTCCCTCCCTGTGTCAACCCCCTCCACAGGTTCACTTCCTCATTCCCCAGACCCTGTCACTCACGTGCTGTGTGTGGTGCCACAGCATCTGGGTCCTGGGCTTCTCTTCTCCTCGCTTTCTCACCCCACATTTGGGTCTCCTTTCTGCTGCTTGAGCTCCTCAAGTTGTCCCCAGCCTCAGGTCTTGGTACTGCTGTGTCCCCCTGCCCAAGATGCTCTGTTCCTGGCYAGCTCTGGCTCAGCCTGAGGGGTTTCATCTCAGGATTCCTGTCCCCAGGAGGGTCACCGTGGTCTTTCACTCCTTCAGTGGTTTTGCCACACATAGACAGGACCTTTGAAAATGTGTGTGTCCTCTTTGCAACCCTGTCCCCAGCTGTCCCTCTAGCCCTTCAAGTGGTGCTAGGCACAGGGCTGGCATTTGGTAAGCCGTTGAGAGGATGACGAGTGGGTGACAGGAACTGAAACCCTGGAGGGGACACCTGAGCACATGAGGATGACGTAGTTGGCAGCATGGGCCTCTTGCCTCACATGGAACAGATTCCTCGGTGGTGATGCTGCTTGAGAGAATCATCTCCTTGTAGTTCTGGAAGCTCAGCTGACTCATGGGGTACTCTGACCTCCTGGTGTCTGCGAGTTAGAGGTCAGCAGGGTGCCACTGTCCTCTCTGCCTGGAGGAGGTGAGGATCAGGGCAAAGGGCCAGCCTGGACACAGAGAATGACCTTGTTTAGAGAAACACTCACAGGCCAACCTCCTCCTCCCTCTCCTTCCTCAGGAATGATAACGGGGCGTTGACAAAGTGCCTAGGACAAGCTAGGCGCTTCAGCAGGAGACGGCAGGCTGGGCCCACTGAGGGTTTCAGGGCTCCCTGGAGAGAGTGGGGTTTCCCTTGGACGTGTGGGAGGCACTTTGTGAACTCAGGGAAGCAGGGTTGACTGTGCCGGAAGAGTCAGGTGGGTCACCGCAGACTAACTTGTCAGCTGGGGCCAGAGCGCCCGTGCGCATGCTGGATGTCCAGGACAGTGACACGGCTGTGCGCCATGGGGACCTGATGGGTCCAGGAACTTCAGACCTGCCCATGTTCTTTCAGGGTGGAGTCGTGGGGCCAGGCGCAGGGCCAGCTCCCTTCTGGGCTCCGTTCTAGGCTTCATTCCCACGCAGAGGTCTTTTCCTCTGGTGAGGGCACATGTGGCTGGCCACAGCCCTGCCAAGACTTGGTGACAGAGGGAAGCCTGGCCTACCCTCCATATGGAATGCGCCATCCCCTGGCACTGCCCCCTAGGCAGAGCTGAACTTTTACTTTTGAAATTGACTTTGTTCTTGAATTTCACTTTGTAGAATAACAGAAAGTCGGACGTACTCAGTTGGGGGAAATGTGCAACCAGTCTTCCTGGATTTACCCTCTGATGTTTCGGTATCTCCCAGCTGCCTTCCCCCTTCACTGCTGGGTAGGGAGCAGGCTGGCTATCTCAGGTTCTCAGAGGTGCCCACATTTTCCCAGTGGTCACCACTGTCCCTCCATTCATGGTTGGGTGCCACATTGGAGGCCTTGTCCATCAGTATCCACAGCCCCCTTTGCCTTTTGGTCCTCTGCTCCCTCTTCCCAACCAGGAGGACCTTCCTCATGCCTGGGTCCCATGTCGGGATCAAGATGCTTCCAGCTGCTTCCTTACTGCTTCAGCCATGGGAATGAGCTGCACATGGCCCCTCCGCTACCTTTCTGTCCCTGGGCACTTATGTAGAGGCTCACTCTACCACGTGGCCTGCGCAGTGGTTTCATTAATGAGGTTCTAGGCATAAAGTTAGTTAGACGAGATCGAAATAAAAACACAAGGCTCAATTACCTTAATTCTATTGCTAGGTCCKAGACGGCTCCCCTCTCTGGTTCGCTCCTCTAGCCGCCCAGCAGGGCAGCAAGGATTACTCAGGGCTAGCAGGAGAGAGAGAGCGAGCACGCCGGGGA